ACAGCCTCCAAAGCCACAGAGAAACACTGTCTCGAAAAACCAAAAAAAAAATCCCAGCAGAATTATTCACAGACCTTGAAGGAACAATAATCAACTTTACATGGAAAAACAAAAGACCCAGTGTAGCCAAAAGAACCCTTATCAACAAGGCAACATACAGAGGCATCACCACCCCTGACTTCAACCTCTGAAAACAGCTTGGTATTGGCACAAAAATAGACAGATAGATGAAAGGAATCAAATTGAACATCCCGACATTAACCAACACATGTATGAACACCTGATCTTTGACAAAGAAGCTAAAATTATACAATGGAAAAAAGAAAGCATCTTCAACAATGGTGCTGGCATAACTTGAGGCTGACATGCAGAAGATTGCAGATAGATACGTGTCTATCGCCATGCACAAAACTTAAATCCAAATGGATCAAAGACCTCAACATAATTCCAGCCACACTGAACCTGGTAGAAGAGTGGCACGGTGATTGTGGAGTGCCCAATCAATAAATGGTTCAGCCTGTGACCCATGCCAAGAAAACCTATCATAGAACCAGATATAACTGAAGGATAAATGTGAATGTAACGATGCCTAACAATATTCTGCTATATTCATAGATTGATATCTATGCCAATAGCTATCATAGAGGCTTTATCTAGCAACTGGTAGAAACAGAAAAGAGACTCCATCTCAAACATTAAGCTGAGCTTGGGGAATCCTGCTGAAGAGATGAAGAAAGGATTGTAGGAACCAGGGGTCAAGGACACCATAAGAAAACCCATAGAATCAACTAAGTTTGGCTCATAGAGGCTCACAGAGACTGAACAGACAGCCAGGGAGTTTGCATGGGACTAACCTAGGTCCTCTGCATATATATGACCATTATGGAAATTGATCTTTTGTGGTACTCCTAATAGTAGGAGCAGGGGCTGTCTCTAACTTCTTTGCTCGCTTTTGGAAGACTTGCCCAATCTCAATATATGGTGAATTACTTAGTCTTACTACAACTTGATATTCCATAGTTTTTGATATCCATGGGAGACCCACCCTTTTCTGAACATAATGGAGGAGGAATAAATGGGGGGAAGGCAGAGGAGAAGTGGGAAGAACTGGTAGGAGAGGAGGAAGGGGAAACTGTGGTCAATATGTTAAATAAATTAATAAATAAGAAAACAGAAAAAAGAAAGACTCCATCAGAAACCTCATATAAATGAATGTCAAGAAACTGTGATCAAGAAGTTAAGTAAATTAATAAATAAATAAAAATAGTAAATAGTAAAAAGAAAAATGCCATATTAAAAGGAGTAAAAAGAATGAAAATATATTGTTCAAGTAAGTAATAATTTGACATAACAGTTGTCTTTCTTTTGGCGAAATTAGTAGATAGGTGGTAAAACTTACTTTCAGTCTACTGAAATGTCTTAACTTCAAGTTGTAAGTCTGGTAGACTGCAGTCCAAGACACAGTACGGTAATATTTTAATAAATAAGATCTGGGATATTATGCCTAAAGTATATTATAAATAGCAAATATTTATACCCTTAAATTTTCTTCTAGTGATTCTGCAACATAATCAGCATAACCCCCAAATATTATTTTCCAACACATCTATCAATTGACAAATATTTATGTATATGCATAATCAGCTTTCCTATAAGATGAATAATTAACTTAAAATAACAAACTAAAAGAAAAGTAATACTACAGCAAGTATGTCACTAATTTATTGAAGAAAATTAAACAAGGTGATAGACAAGATACAATTTTTTTGGCAATGTCATATTTTTGACAATAAATTTATATTATTTTGAACTATACATTGGTTGCTGTAAGTTAGTTAAATTTTTCTGCTAAAGATCATCAACCTATCTAAGTGTCCCATATGATTTGGTGATTTGGATTAATTATTCTTGTAATTGGGAAGGAGTTTGCTTAATCATCTTGTTTCTATTTCATGATAAATATTTGCTTAAGATTGTGGATTAATTCCCTGGGGCCATGCTTTTAGACTTAAAGCTCACTCTTTGATCTCCATATTTGTCTTCTGAGTCTTACTCACATTGTGAGATTTTTTTGTGCTGAACATTATCCTTTTAATAATCAATAAAATTTTCTTGGTTCTGCTAGTGACATATTTTGAAAATGAAACTCTTATGGCTTAATTCCAAGTTGGATTTGTGTCTTTAATCAAATTTTTGTAATTTTTTTAATTATTTACTGAATTGATCACAGAAACCTTTGGTAAATGAACCTACAGAGGATGCCTCTTTTGGGGTTGCTGGTTAATTAACATGTCATATAATTCAGACGTGAAAGACTCTAAGTTGAAAGTATATTTTTTATTAGAGAAGGAGCTCTGTGACAATATATGATTCACCCGAGACTCATAATACAAGGTACCGAATTACTTGTTACATTAGCAAAAAATATTGTCTTGATTTTGTCTTTGAGATTCACTAGTCTGTCAAATGTATAACAGAGATAGTACAATTAAAGCAATATTAATTAAACACTTTCAATTTTAAAAATAATTTGGTAGCATGTACCTATAAAGGCTTCTCACTGAAACAGTGTTTATTTTAAAAGTTTAAATGCTGTGAAGTCAGAATCCACACACAAGTGTATTTTCAGTAATTCTTGTATTTCACCTTAACCAAAAGAGAAGATGTAAATACTGTGTAATAGTTTGAGATACCGCAGGAACCTATAGCTGAAAGCTTAGGAGTAATCATAAGAAGAGCAAGGAAGAAGATTGCTTCTAGTGTATCTCTGCCAGAGCATTTCCATTTACGGTTTCTTCTTTACACCAAACATAATTTATAAAATAATAAATGCTGATAATTCTCCTTCTGTTTCAAAGTAAATTCAAGAATCTATGAATGAGAAGAAAAACAGCTCAGTTTTGTGGAATTCACTGAAAGGTGTAAAATAGTATTTATTGCTCTAAAATTAACTTATTTAAGATATATGACAACATAGTAAGTGTGGAACCAATATTATTAGTTACTAATTACTCATTATATTTATGTGCAGGGAATTGGGCAACAGACCTTATACAACTTGTTGATGCCAAATATGAATATTTTACTTAAGCAGAATTTCAACCTATGCTGATCCAATCCAGTCATGTTCTTTCCAAAGTCTCATGTGTACATTCAAAAAGACTCAGGAAGTGACCTATTATTAATAATTGAATAACAATCCATGCTATGTGCAGTACTGGGACAAGGTTATTTGAATGGGAGGATGGTAAATCTAGAATAAATCAATAAAATATCAAATTAAGGCAAAGAGAAAGAAAAGATTGTTCATAAATTCATGAAGAAAAAACTAACTGTATTATATCTGAAAAGGAATTAGGGTGAAGCACATATTGAAAGAGTACATTGTATACTATTGAAAATACAGTGTTTGGGCTGGGCGGTGGTGGTGCACGCCTTTAATCCCAGCAATCAGGAGGCAGAGGCAGGCGGATCTCTGTAAGTTTGAGGCCGGGCTGGACTGACAGCCTCCAAAACAATACAGAGAAACTCTCTCGTAAAAACCAAAAAAGAAAATACAGTGTTTGTCTACCAAATTTCAATTGTCAGAAGTACATGGAAAAGTTTAGGTATGGTAGAGAACAGAACACTAATATTTCTCATACTTGCTTATAAGTATGTTTATATGTGGAAGTATATATTTACTTCTGAAGGTCAAATTCCAAACAGAACACTAAACATTTGAAATTTTAAATCTATTTCAAAAGAGTCAATAACCTAATTTTAGAGATGGGCTTACTGGAAAATGTTAACTAATCTAAGTATTTTAAGATTACAAATGATAGGACAAAAAGAATTTGTGCTTGATGATAAAACATTGTATGAGATATCACATTCAGGAGTGAATGTTTTTCTGTGCAGTCTCAATGGACAGAATCCCGACAAGGCAGAATCCCGCAGAAAGGAATTTTAACCTAGAAAACAAGGAAGGGAAAAAACAGTGAAGATAAAACAGGAACCTTTGGTTTTCATTGTAAAAATGGTGATATTATAACTCTGTCTTCCAAAACAACAAGGTTTCTCTAAATAATATAAATTAAATTTATGAATTATAAACATTTTTTAACAAAATAAGCAATGCAAGAGACAAGAAATGTGAGTCACCTTTGTATTGATGTTTTATGGGCAAGATGAGTGAACACTGGAAAAGAACTAACCTTACAAACTTGTCTGACATTCAAAGATTCTTTGGAGTGCTGACTATTATAGTGTAGGCTAATTTGTTCTTATGATTCATGTCTCAAGATGGTAAAATCATGTCTATGATGCCAAATTCATTTCCAAATTTCATACATTTTTTCATTATGTTTGTATCATTGCACTTCTAAAGAATTTGAGATTTTATGACTTATTCCTTTCCTTGCATATCCTTTTACCAACATGTACAAGAAACTATAATGCCTTTTCTTTTAGTATATACTTTAGTGTTCCTAACAACCAATATATTCATTTTATATTTTAAGGTACAGAGACAAGAAAACAAAAGCATAGAAATAAACACTAAAACCAATCACCATAAAACTTAATAAGAGCATGTTTAATTTTTTTGGTAAAAATACTAAACATTTTTAAATATGAGTCATTTGGGTCTCTAAAGTCATTAAACTTATCTATAACAGCCTTGTTTAAAAGGTCTGTCCTGTACCAGTATTATCAGAGAAGGTGGCCTGAATATTTAGATGATTAAATGACATTTTTGTACAGTTTAGAGTGTTTGCTATCCCTGAACCATAGCATTAAAGTATTTACACAGGGTTGTTTATAACTTCTCATTGTATAATAAATGAGGGAATGTTTTCCCCAACTGATCTAGGAAACATATGTGTAGAAATAATCTGTGATTAAAAGTCACCCTATATTCTTTTGAAATACCTGTTGGTGTATGCCATACCATGAATTAATATATATTCTTCTGTCTCCTCTCATACTATGCACATCCTTCACTGATCCTGCTGCCGGGGATGGATTCTATCATTTTCTCCCACAAGATCCAAATGCAGCATCCAGGAAATCAGAGTACTAGAGTCTTATTTGTCTTCTTGGGATTCTCAGAATATCCAAACTTACAGGTGCCTTTGTTCCTGGTTTTTTTGGTCATATACACCATCAGTGTTCTGGAAAATCTAGGTATGATTTTGGTCATCAGGATTAACCTCAAACTCCATACTCCAATGTACTTTTTCCTCAGCCATTTATCCTTCATTGACCTTTGTTACACCACTGTGATTGGACCAAAACTGTTAGACCTTCTGATAAGGGAAGACAGATCTATGTCTGTAAGAGGATGCATAATCCAGTTCTACTTTGGCTGTGCTTGTGTGGTTGCCCAAACCTTTATGTTAGCTGTGATGGCTTATGATCGCTTTGTAGCAATTTGTAACCCTCTTCTCTATACTGTGGCTATGTCTGGTAGACTCTGTGCTCTCCTAGCAGCTGCAACTTATCTATGGGGTGGGCTCTGTGCCACTATACTTACATACTTCCTTCTGGCACTGTCTTACTGTAGATCTACCACCATTAACCACTTTTGCTGTGAGTATTCTGCCATCATCTCTGCATCCTGTTCCGATTCTTCCTTCAGTCAGTTGGCATGCTTGTTAGTTTGTATGTTCAACGAGATTTGTAGTCTCCTAATCATCATTGTCTCCTATGTTGTCATCTTTGTCACTGTCATCAAGATTCCTACTAAAGGAGCACTCCAAAAAGCCTTGGCCACCTGTGCCCCCCACCTGACTGCTATCTCTTTCTGTCATGGGATCATTCTCCTTCTGTACTGTGTACTCAAGTCAAAGAGCTCACTGTTCCTTGTTAAAATAGTCACTGTGTTTTACAGCATGGTCATACCTATGCTCAATCCTCTTATTTACAGCCTAAGAAATCAGGATGTAAAGGAGACTGTGAGGAAGCTAGTCCATGTAAAAGTCCTTTCTCCCTCATAGCGACACACACAAACACATACACATGTTAGTATGTGTGCATGTGCATGCGCACCCCCTACTCCGCTCCCACACACACCATTAAAATATTTTTATTACTCTTTTTACTCATTGTATTGCTAATATTCAAATAATAGAACAAAATAAAATATTCTGAGAAACTGTGTTGATAATATGCGTGCAATAGTTATGTAAATAACTTTATGGAGTCAATTTTCTTGCCTTCCTTCCTATAATGTTTAAAACTTTCTTTCCAATTACAGTATCTAACTTCTGGTTCTGAGATTACAAAATTTACTTTTTCCTACACATCTGAAACTTATACATGTGGAATTTTAAAGATTAGAACCCAGGGCAGTAGATCAGTGTTTATCCCTGGCATACAAATGGACTTCGTGTGTCCATAACACAAAGAGGGATGCTCTCTCAGCCTGGACTCTTAGGGGAGTGCCTGAACCCTGCACTGAGCAAAATGACAGACTCTGGATATCCTCTATGTGGAAGGAAGTGGGGGTAGGGTGAGAGGCTGGGGGGATAGTGGGGGGATGTGGGAGGAAGGAAGGGAGAAGGAATGGTGATTGACATGTGAAGCAATCTATTTAAAATTAAAGTAATAAAAACAAAAAGATTAGAACCTACATAGGGTAGATAAAATTTAAAGATTCTTTCCAGAGCAGTGTTTATATTATCATTTGAAAAATCTCTTACTTTTATATGATCTTTTAATATCTGCTTATCTGTATTACCCATGGCTTCTTACTCTATTTCCTTCTATCAGTCCCACAACAATATCCATGTGTCTCCTCTTGAATCATGTCCTCTGCTGTTTTAATTCACAAACTCTAAGGAAATGAATTTTGAGGAGACAGCCATTCCCTTCACAGGATGATTCAGCATTTGTTTTTTGAGGAAACTTGTCTTTAATCAATATGCATATATTGAAGTGTGGTTTTATACACTTTACTGCAGTGCCCAGGGAAGTCACAAAAGGGTCTTGGATCCATTGGAACTGGAGTTACAGTCAGTTGTGAGCTGTCCAATGTGGGTGTTGGGACATGAACTCACATCCCCAGTATACCCTGTTAGTAGGTGCCTCCACGTTGGCAAGAGTTGGATTATGGTTATTTTGTGGTGACCTATAATCATGTTCTCTAAAAAGCTATAGTCTTCAGGAGGCCTCTTCCTTGTTAGTGTCTATGTCACACTCGAGCTACCATTGATTCTTTATTATTAATATGCTATTTTCTGACATGAGCTTTCACAGGAATAAGTTCACCAACAACTACCTGTGAGATTCTTTGTACAGTTGCAATTCTGAATAAGGTATCAGCTGTAAGACTTTCTTTTGATCCTCTCAAAATTTTTGGATTAAATATATAGTCTGAATTTTTCACCCTTTTTATGTTTTCATTTCAATCACCATCATCATGATTTCAATGATTGGAGGATACACAGCTGTCCATATGTGTCTTCCGTCTGATTGCCACTGAGATTTTCATGCTATTTGTCTTCTTGGTCCTGTTTTTCTTCTAAAATATCAAGGCTTACAGAAGGTATCCTCTTTTTTTATTTGACAGATCATCATGATCATCACTGAACTACAGCCTAAGCAACAAAGATATGATAAAATAGCTAACAAATACCAACTGAGGTATTACAGCATATCATTTTAGAAATTTTATTTGGTTTTTAAAGTAAATGTGCTATTGCTCAATGTCAAATCAGATCAAGACTATAAGGTAACCCACTGATAAACATATCATTATCACATTATTTTACATTACAGAAATTATCAGAACTAAAATCACAGATGACTTAAAAAAAAGAATGACTGAATTAGATCTTCTAGCATGACGATTTGAGAGGATTCTTCTGCCACTCCCCAGATCGACATTCATTTCAACTTATCTCTCAGGAAATGTAATTATTTTGAAATATACTCAAGTGTATGTAACATGAGTGCTGAGTACTCAACCATCCCTTATTTCAGCACTTTATGTACCTGTGAGATGACCTTCACTGAAGTTCAATAGAGAAACTTCCCGATTAAGAGTGATGGTGATGAATACAAACACACACACACACACACACACACACACACACACACACACACACACACATATATATGTATGGTAATTTCATGATAAAGCAAAAAATTAAGTCTCCCCCCTAGGTCCAATATCCTACCCTTCCATAGGATTTTGAATAGATTTATATTTCCATATTGATTCCTGTCTTATACCTGATACAGGATCCCAAATCTAATTCTACAGGGTTACTCCTAATACAGTTTTTTTTATAGTTTTGCTTTCTTCTACAAATCAGGAAAGTCAGTTACAGTGTCAAAATTATAATAAACTGTACATTTGTCATCTACTGTTTCTAAAATATTGGGACTCAAAGTACAGGTTCTTATATAACAAATACAGTTCATTTATAGTGTGATTTTATTCATCTAACATGCCATTTCTTGTTCAAATATTATTTTTAAGTGTATGCAGTACTTGGTAGAGTATTTGGTTAAATCCAATCATATCTGATTTACAGACTACCAGATATTAAATAAATGAGGTATCCCTATAGCTAAATTACATGACTTAGTGATATATTACTATTTATTGTTAAACATTTAGAGAACTTGGGTTGCATTGAATTGTTTAAGTCATTATGTATAAAGGATAATATGGTATTTCTTTCAGAAATAAGCAAAAAATTCAAAAAAGAAAAGAATGTAGCTTGCAATTTATAGTAGAATGGGCACTGCACTGCATTGAATATTACCAAAATTTTGATATTCAAAAAGACATCAAACATGGTTATCAAGTAAGAGTAGCAAAGATATAATCATTTGGTTAAGCATGAAACTAAATTTCCATTCTCCAATGATTGAAAAAAAGAGAAATTTGTTTCATCATGAATGTGCACTAACTTAAAAATTTTGCATGTTGTATTTCAAGCATGAAATCTTCACTTAAATGGAGAAGTCATTGCTGCTTTCCTTATTATTTTATAGCTGAATACTCAACCTCAAGTTAAACAGAATTTCAAAAACCAGCTAACTTAGAGTTAAACTCACTGTTTTTGTTTTGCTTGGTTGGTTTAAGTTTTCTCAATAATTATAGAAATCTTGGGAAATTCTGCACAATATTTCTGAAATGAATGTCTATGGCATCATAGATTTAAACTGATCAACTTCCTGGCTGTCTCTTTGACGTCTTTGTTTCTGAGGCTATAGATCAGGGGATTTAACATGGGGATGAAAACTGTATAGAACACTGAGGCCACCTTAACCATGAGCCATGAGTTCTTGGTGTTCGGTACACAATAAAGAAAAAGAATTGTTCCATGGAAAATAATAATGGCAGTTAGGTGAGAGGCACATGTAGAGAAGGCTTTACTACGGCCCCCAATGGAAGTCATCTTCATGACAGTGATGAAGATGAAAGTATAGGAAGTGAGAATGATGACAAGGCTGCTAATTTCATTAAATGTAGCAGAGACAAAAATAATTTCCTGGCTAATGTAAGGGTCAGAGCAGGATACAGCTACAATAGCAGCATGTTCACATACAAAGTTATTTATAATGTTAACTCCTTGAAAGGATAATCTCAGCAAAAAGTAAGTAAGTGTCAGGGAACATAGTAGACCCCAGAAGTATGATGCACCCACTAAAAAGGAACACAGCTTTGGGGACATGACAACCGTGTAGTGCAAAGGATCACAGACTGCAACAAACCGGTCATAGGCCATCACTGCCAGCATGTAGGTTTCTGTCACCACAAATGTGCATGCAAAGAAAAATTGCATGATGCAGCTTGAGAGGGAGATGGTTCTGTCTTCCACAATCAAGTTTTCTAACAGTTTGGGAGTAACAACAGTGGAGTAACAGAAATCCACAAAGGACAGGTGACTAAGGAAAAAGTACATGGGGGTATTGCAGAGTTTTGTGCTGACTCTGATGATGGCAATCATGCCCAGGTTTCCCAGCACAGTAATTGTGTATATGGTTAGGAACATGAGGAACAGGGGCACCTGGAGGTCCGGGTATTCGGAGAAGCCTAAGAGGATGAAGGTCACTGACGTCTGGTTTTTATGACACCTGAGATAAAACAGGAAAATTGAAGCACGTAAGAAATTGAATAAGACAAGGGGAAGAAATGTTTGGAGGTTTAAGGATTACCATAAAAAGCTAAATAGGATTTTACTTCAATAGTTAAATTAATTTACCTTCAAAACACAAGTTGACATTTTATAATATATGATTTTATCCTTTGCAGTATATTATTGCATACTCCACAATAAAAAATAATTCACAAGAGCAAAGATGGATCACTCAGATATTTAGGATAAAATCTCATCATAAAATTATAGAAGGTGTTATTGACTGTTGCAGCAGGCATACTGTAAACTCATGGTGTATCAAGACATATTTATGCAAAACAGCAGCTACAATGAAGCCTTGGATCATCTAATTTCCTAATTATTCAAAGCAATTACAATTATGAAAAAATGGGAAGGAAATTCCTATAGGTGGTATGTTCTTCCAAATGTCTCAACTACTTCTTTCTACTATTTAATTATATTTGTTTTAGAACAACAGTACAATCACTTACCGACTCTAACAGAACACTCAGCACAAAATTAATGCTGGTGCACATAAGACTAGAATGACATGTTTGTGTGCTAAAATTAAAAGCCCTATAGTTTTCACTGTATTGTGATTTAATTGTTTAAAATAATATTAGACTTGTGTCCTCCATATAAAATATCATTGACATATACATACAATTTTTCTCAACTATTACTTTGGGTTTTATTAATTCTATACAGAACACTTCTGATATCCTGAATACATTTACAAACCTCACACAAATTATATTGAGTCCAAATTCTATAACTAGAATTTTTAAAACTTTACACAAATCTATGTTCTTTCTGTGATCCTATTTTAATAAAATGTGAGTGACTTAGGGTTGGAGAAGTAGTGTTTTCTACTAGTAAAAAATATGGTTCCAAAAAGTTCAGATATATCTTATCAATATGTTTAGCTTTTGGGTTCACTTCTTATATTCTGTGAATATCTTAATGCATTTGTTGCTAAATTTTAAATTGACCTATGTTGCCCCAGGAAATGCCATCTATAGTCAGTAGCTTGATGATTCAGTGTGCTGTGAACACATCATACCTGGTTGCCTGTAAAGAGCAAGTTCCCCCTTCCTTTCTGTTAGATCCCTCTTGTGCTTCTCATGACATTACTTCTATGTCCCGAATATCATATCCAGTGTTTTAGAAACCACAGAATTATCAAATAAAATTTGTATCATCAGTTTTCTTTTGAGAATTAATATTAAGTGACACATCTCATTACAAATAAGCATAACATGCAAGTCTTATAATTGATTAAAACTAAAATGCTTTTATATATAAAGAAAACATATGAAAATATAATGAACAAGTAAAATGCTTCAGAAATATTGGTCACACAATAACAATACAGTTGCATACAACCTGATAAATCATCTAGTTAGCAGGTGTATGTGGTTATCATAGAAGGTAGATTTACACATAGATTTTAAAGCCTCAGAAAATTAGGATCATATATCACTTTCTTTTTAAAATAAAATAAAATCAAGAGTTGAATAAACTCACCACAAAGTAGAAAAAATTGATGTATTCATTTATTTAAGACTCTTAACAAAAATTAATAGGTCCCAGGGCTGTCTCTGCTAGGAATTTGATTTCTTTTATTAATTAATTTACTTCAATTAATTTATTTTATGGAATACAATAAAAACATGAAAAATACAAGTATTACTCTATATATCAAAGAATATTTTAGAAAAATGACTTCTATCACATAACCTTTACAAAAAGTTTCAGTAATAACTGAGAGAAAGGAAAAAGCAGAAACCCAGCACCAAACTGTGTGCTACATATATGTCACAGAGACCTCGGGGATGTAAACCCTAGACAATGGGACTGAAGAATTTCCCTGAAGGCACAAATCAAACAATTAGATGAAACAAAGACCCATGTGATATTTTGATTGTAATTTTATCTAAAATTAGAAACATTTCATAGCCAGTTTTAATGATTTAAATATGTTATAGAACATTTTATAACACACCAATATTCTTTCAAGTCAAATACCTACCTACAAATAGCTATAAAACATCTGTAAATTAATACATACATGAAGGGCAAGTTTTCATGGTATCAGAAAGCAACATACAAGTTTTCAAAGGAGGCAAGAAGTCAACAATCCTGCCTAGCAGTGGCCCTTGGAATCACAACAATAATTGGCATAACATGATAACCCTAAGGGCACAATAATAGCATGTATACATAGATGGTAACCAACAGTTCTCTAATTATATTAAAGATACACTCATCAACAAGGAAACCATGCCTAGTACTGGAAACCTAGATAACTACTTAATTTCTAGTATGATCAAGGATCTTTTAGTAGAATCTACTACCACTTTACTAAACTAAAATAATCTGTAACTACATTCTAAACATTTGTCCTCATACTCACAAACAAATACAGTCAAAAGTACTCTTTGCTACAGTCAGAGAGCATTGCATGAAATCACAACCACTCAATATGTAGAGTTAAGGAGTGCAGTACCAGTGTATATATCTATAAAAACAACTCCTATAACTAAAGATCAGGGAATATTGCAGAAGATGGGGCAAAAAAATCTGAAGTCACAGTATCATGAAATTTGTTGTAAGATTGTGTCTCCTGGAAATGTACATCTATAATGTACAGTCTTACTAACAGGACTACGTAAACATAAGCCTAACAAAGATAATAGTGATGCCAAAATGAACACTGGGAAGATCATGTGTCCTCAACTTTATACAAAGTACTGCAAGCAACTAAGGAGTTCTGAGAGTAGAGGAAACAATGTTTTCCATGGCAACCGATTATTCATTAGCAAATGGCAGCCCTAAAATTGTTCATACCAATAACATTATACAGACTGAGCAAGTTATATTTAGGAATATACATGTACATATACATGTATATAATTGCATGTAACAGCCATTATTGCAAAAAGAGTCAGGTATCTGAAAGAGAGCAAGGAGAGATATGTAGCACAAGGGAGGGAAAAGGATGGAGGAAATGAGGTAATTACATTATAATCTCAAAATGAAAAGGAAAGTTTAAAAAGCCAGCCTGTTTCATTTCCAGAAGATCTAGAGCATTCTTCTAGTTTGTGTGGGCACAGAATGCATGCAGACACAATACTCACTTGCTTAACATAAAAATATATTTTGTGGCTTTGATTTCCGAGACAGGGTCTCTCTGTAGCTTTAGAGCCTGTCCTGGAACTTGCTCTGCAGACCAGTCTGGTCCCAAACTCACAGAGATCCACATTCTTTTAATCCCAGCACTTGAGAGGCAGAGGCAGGCAGATCTCTGTGAGTTCGAGTCCAGCCTGGTTTACAGAGTGAGTTCCAGGACTGATAGGACTGTTTCACAGAGTAATTTGTCTTGAGAAACAAAACAAAAAAGTGAAAAATGTAAATGTTTTACAAAAAATTTTCAATTTTAGATACAACATAGTATAAATTCACACATGAATTTACAGCTTGAATGGATTAGGGTTATGCATTACTTTCCTTCTAAAACAGAGAAAAAATTATGTATTCAATTATAAAGATTCTTTATAAAATTAGTGCTCTAGTGTATTCTAGGAAGTCATAAAAATAATACAATAAAAACCAACTCAACACAACATTTTTCGCAGAATTACAGTAGTTACATATCCAGAAAATATAGACAAATGCCAGTAATTAGGAATACAACAGGTCACCATCACTAGTTGCTAGGGAAATGACCAAAACCACAAGAACAACTCATTGCTTTTGAGTAAGAGACAGATTTTTTTCTTTTTCATTTATTTCTTTATTCTTTTATTTTTGTTTGTTTTGTTTTGTTTAGAGATTTTGAGACAGTGTTTCTCTATGTAGCCTTGGCTATCCTAGAACTCCTTCTATAGACCACACTGGCCTCCAATTCCAAGACCCTCCTCTCTTGGCCTCCTGAGGACTGTAAGTGTGGGCTGCCATTACTCTTTCAGCCAGATGTGGTGATGCATGTCTTTAATAGCAACACTTGGGAGGCAGATCCAGAGAGATCTCTGTTAATTCAAAGGCAGCCTGGCCTATTAAGTGGCTTCCAGGAAAACCAAGTCTATTACACAGAGAAACTCTGTCTCAGTTATTTCTTTAAAATAATAGAGTTTTATATGTTATTGGTGCTGTTGTAATTTAACATAAAATGTGCTGAATATACAATAAAGGGAGGGCACTGTGTTTGTGTTTAAGACAACAATACAACAAAGTAAACCAACCAACTACTTCCAATGATTAATATATAATATACTACCACATTCTTGTTGTGAGGGCTATTGCAAAATGAAGAGATTAAGAGAAGAAAAAAAGGAGAAGGATGTAAGAACAGGGAGAAAGCAGAGGAAGTAGGAAGCAAATATGGAGATCAGGGTGTCCTTTGAGAATTATTGGAAACTATGTAAAGCTGTGATATGCCTACGGAAACATGCATAGTGTTTCATCAAGTGATGATTGTGTTAATTCCACATGATCCAGCAGTTCTATGTCTAAAGTGTACCACATTAATTAATACCAGACTCATTAGTTTGTTTCCAGATCATATTCACACGCAATAGGCAAATGATAGAACCAAATCAGGTAGCCAACAGATATGCATCCTTCAATGTGGATGATCTATGTGGAAATTAAAATAAATGGAATCAGCAATACAGAGAATACGAATTGTATAATTCTAGCCATGTGTGGTACTTATCAGGGTAAAGTTCATGGATACAAAAAGTATCAATACAGTTTATCAGGAACTGACTCTTTGGAGGAATACTTCAGAACACAAACAGCTCTGGTTTAGGATGGTGAATATATTCTGGACACAGTGAATACAGAAGCACAACACTGTGAATGCATTTGATGCCATGAAATTGTACGCTCTCAAGTGTTCATGTCATAAATACATATGCAGAACATTTTAAATTAAGGTATTAAAAAGTAGTAAAATGGTTATAAAGAAATTTACTGGCAACATATGTAGATAGCTAAAATTGACTAAAATATAAACATATTAGTGCCAACGTGATGAATTTAAAGTCCTTTTAAGACAACCTTAAAGTATCCATTCATGAGTGTAATCTATCACACATGTTTATAATTTTGTTCATGAGGTTAGCCTTGAACAGCTGAGCCATCTCTCCATCTCCACATAGATTTATATAAATGTCCCAACTATTGCAAATACTTCAAACTTAGTGCTAAATTAGTAAACATTTTAATCTCAAGGTTTGAAACTCACAGTGAGTTTAGTATTAAAGGAGCTAATTGGAAACCCTATA